TAGTATTTTGTCAGAATTATTTACGTTTTGTATCACTCTGAGAATTGACACAAAACAAAAGAAGTGGTAGAGTGGTGGGGAATGAATTGTGGTCAGCACTGTCCTTAAACAGTGTGAGCAGTATCCTCATACGAGCAATGATTGCATTGAGATATTGATCTTTATAGGGATTCTAGTGCTTGCGTAAGGATAAACGGGGCATACACTGAATGGTTTAATATCGAAAAAGGTATTAGACAGGGATGTGTAGCGTCACCGTGGCTGTTCAATCTGTTCATGGACAATTGCTTGCCAGAATTAAAAGAGAATGAAAGTGGGTTGAGAATTAATGAATTACTCGTCAAATGTTTTCTCTATGCTGATGACCAAGTACAACTTTCGTCTTCGGCCGAGGAGTTGCAGGAGATGGTAACTGCTATGAGTGGAGCTTTTGTTAGAAAGGGAATGAAGATGAATGTAAAGAAGACGAATGTGATGGTGTTTGAAAGAGATGAGGCAGTGACAGACTGCAATATCGCGATTGGAGATGAACAAATTGAACAGGTGAACGAGTTTGTGTATCTGGGTTCAAAGTTTACGAGAGATGGAAAGTGTGAGAGTGATATCGAAAGAAGAGTGAATACAGGAAACATGGTGAATGGAGCTTTGCACTCCTTTATGAGCAGTCGGAAGCTACCTAACAAGGCTCGTTTGGCTGTGCATGAGGGGATGTTCGTTCCGACACTCATGTACGGAAGTGAAAGTTGGGTATGGCAGAAGAAACAAAAAAGCAGAATAAATGCAGTTGAGATGAGAGCGTTAAGAAGTATGATAAGAGTTAAACTGAGTGACAGGATAAGAAATAGTGAGATAAGGAAACGTTGTGGTCTGAAAGAAGATGTAGTGACAAAAATTGAGAAAGGTATGCTGAGGTGGTTTGGCCATGTCGAGAGAATGAATTAAGACCGTTTGACGAAAAAGGTGTATAAGGCAAGTGTGAATGAAAGTGTTGGAAGGGGTAGACCCAAGGCAAGGCTGACCCTGTTTAGAGCATATTGTCAATGCTTCTATACTTGTCAACTTTGGTTGGACAGTACAAAAATGCATGTAGCAGCATTAGAGTACAGTATAATAATGCATTCCGAATTCTTATGAAACTGCCTAAATACTACAGTGAGTCGAGCATGTTTGCCAACGCCGGGGTGCCTGATTACTGCGCCGTTATTAGATCTCGGATTGCAGATCTTTAGGGTGTGCTACGAGTGCCCAGAGAATCCCATACTACAATATTGGCGTGCCGTGCATCGCGACAATAACTGTAAATAGATAGAACAGACCATGGAAATACATGTACTTCGGAACAGACTCACTTTTGGGGGCAATTTTAGTATTTTTCGTATTAACCTATGATTACAGTTGAATTGTCAAATTCAAATTCAAATTCATTTATTTATATGTGAATACAGTAAGTTAGGTGTTCGTAAAATTTACATTAGGTATCGTGTATTATACCACAGTGTGGTGTACAAATATTCATTACGATATTGTCAATAGAAGCAAAAGTAATACTTTTAAAATTGATTGCACATTATAAAAATACCATAATCATATGTGTATGTAGTATTAAATATTCAAAAGTGAAAAGCATCGTGCAATGATACCCATGACAAATAACACATTTCGTAATGGCGCCTTTACGTCTAAATTGAGAAAAAAAAAGAAACTGAAGTAAATAAAAATGTCATCTTTTCAAATTATCATTACTATTGTTAAATACACGAGTCAAAAATAAATACTGCATCTTAAGCTAATGGCACGAAATAAACTATATATATTCAATACTCAATACTCAATATTTATTTGCATTCCATAATGTACAAATTAATAAATTAAATTATCACAATATGGACCCTGCTGGGTATAGCAAATTAGAAAATTAGAACAGAGGAGGGCGCATAGATGTTTTATAATTCATTATTATTATTATATCATTCATTATTATTATATCATTTATTAGTCCATAATTATTCATATTAATCATTCATTTATTTAAAGTATTGCATTTGTCATTCAGGTATTCATATAAAGTATAATAACATTTATTGATTAGAAACACTTTTAATTGTCTTATAAAAATATTATCATTTGTTTCGTTTTTTAATGAGTTTGGTAGTTTATTATAGACAGTTATGGACATTGCGTAAGGGCCTGATGAGAAGAGCTTCATTTTAGAGGGTGGTAGCAATAATTTATTTTCATATCTAAAACTATAAGCCGTATTTTTAGTTTCTCTTTTTACATATAAATTAGGGTATTTTCGCACGAATTTGCATAATTCCAATATATAAATACAAGTTAAGGTAAGAAGTTTAAGTTTCTTAAAATGAGGACGACAACTTTCAGTATTCTTTATGTTAGACATAATGCGAATTAGCTTTTTCTGTAAGATGAAGATGGTGGGTGCATCTGTACTGTTGCCCCACAGGATAATACCATACCTTAGCCACGCCTGTGCATAGGCATTATAAGTAATTAACGCAGTCTGGAGGTCAGTTGTCTTTTTTATTTCACTTAGTGCATATACAAAGCTAGACAATTTGTTACGAATTTTCTGAATTTGAGATTTCCAGTTAATGTGGCTATCTAGAATTAAACCGAGTAGAGTGTGTTCATTTACTGACTCTATTTTTGTATTTTTGTAAGAAAAATTGATTTTAATCGGTGGTTTTTGATAAGGGTAAAAAGGCAAAATTTTTGTTTTTTTATAGTTAATTTCTAGGTTATGCTCTTTCATCCATTGGTCAGTAGTTTTAAATATTTTATATAGTATATCGTTTATATTATTTACGTTACGACATGGTGCTAAGATAGAGATATCATCCGCAAACATAACACATGGGTTAACCATAGTTTCACTGAGATTGTTGATATATATTAAAAATAATAAACATCCCAATACACTACCTTGGGGTATTGAAGCATTTATAATTATTTTATTTGATCTGACTTTCACTATATTATTATTATCAAAGTATTCTATTTCTACATATTGTTCTCTATCTTGCAAGTATGATTTGAACCATTCCAAAGTAATCCCACGAATACCTATACTATTTAATTTATTAATCAATATGTTATATTGCACCTTATCGTATGCTTTGCTCATATCTAATAGTATTCCTATTGCATATTCTTTATTGCTTAATATCTTTAAAATATCTTGAATATATTTATATACTGCTAGTACGGTGGACCGATTTTTACGAAAGCCGTTCTGACATTCACTAAAAATTTTATATTTCTCGCAGAAATTATACACACGTTCGAACATTGCTTTTTCGAAAACTTTTGAGATTGTGGGGAGTAATGCTATGGGGCGATAATTATCGATATTGGTTTTTGAATTTTTTTTGTGGATGGGTGTTATTAATGCCTTTTTTAACATGTCTGGGAAGATGCCCTCTGTGAGAGATTGGTTGATTAGTTTAGAGAGTGGTAGAGTTAACTCATCTGCACAATGTTTGATTAAGGTTGGTGGTAATTCGTCTATCCCGAAACTCATTTTATTTTTTAAATTTTTTATTATTTTATATACTTCCCTTGGGGTCACTAGGCTGAGATATATAGAATTATTCAACACATTCTGTGTAGTTCGACCGTGTGCTAGCGGGTTACAGTTTTTGCCTATTGAAGCATAGAACCTATTAAAAGTATTTGCTATTAAAATCGGGTCTGAAGTTAAAGTATCGTTTATTTTTAGTTTAAGGTTATCGTTTTCTCTTATAATATTTTTATTTGTTCTTTCTTTTATTATATGCCACATTGTTTTGATTTTATTATTTGATCTTAAAATTTTGTTTTTGTATTCTATTTTCTTTGATGTAATAACAGCTTTTTTTAGTAATTTTCCATATTTTTTATAATGTTGGATAAGTATTTTATTATTTGATTTTAATGCCAATACCTTTAGCATTCTTTTGTGTTTACAAGATTTCTTCAACCCTACGGTTAACCAACTTTTTTTATATCTTGGTTTAATTATGATTTTCTTTTTGGGTATACTCTCATTCAGTATATTTATTAGTTTATCATTGAACTTATTGTAATTATAATCAATATTTTTATTAGGTTCCAAAATTTCTGACCAATTGCATGTCTCTAATTTGGATTTAAAGGTTTGCATATTATTGAAATTAAATTTTCTTTTTTCTGTATACCATATATTCTGTTTGTTTTGCTTATTTATTTCTATATCTATAATTGTGCTCATGTGGTCGGATAGTCCAAGTTCTTCTACACTAGTTTTTAGTTTTAGGTTGTAGAAATTTGTAAATATTAAGTCTAAGCATGTTGATATATTTTTAGTTACACGCGTAGGCTTTTTTATATGTTGATTGAAATTAAATTCTAACATTAGATTTAAAAATTGTTTAGTCTTTGTATTTTCTTTTAATATGTCAATATTGAAGTCACCTCCTATAATTATACTGTATTTAGAAAATTTTATATTTATATAGTTTAAGATATATTGTAACCGATTATAAAATGCGTCTTCCTCTCTTCTATTCCAATACACAGTAATAATTAAAATATTTTCTTCTGGTAGCTCCACTGCACACACTTCTAATACATATTCTTCTATTGACATTTTGGCTATTTCTTCTCTTTCTACATATTTTAGAACATCTCTCAACAAGATACAAACTCCACCGCCAACGCGGGATTTTCTACAGAATGCAGCAGCTATCTTATAATTTGAAAATTGTATTATCTGTAATTTTTCAAGTGTTAACCAAGATTCTGTAATGCATATTACTTGAAACTGTGGAAACTCTATCAAAAATGCTTCTAGTATGTCTTGTTTATTGAAGATGCTCTGTATATTTTGAAATAATATTTTAAACCGTAATTTTTTTTCTGGTATGTTATGTTGTTTTATATCAGATCGTGATTTGCATATAGGTTTCTTTACAAAACTGTCTTTAATAGACGGATTTTGCATATTTTTGTTTATGGCAGTACTAGCGAAAAAAATGATCATCATTAACAATCTCATCTGTCGAATCACAATGAATATCCTCTTTAGGTAGCCTAATGCCTTTTAATAGCTTCTGTATTTCTTTACTTTGGTAATTTTTGATTTTATATTTATAGTCAAGTCGTAATATTTCTTGAAGTATATTTTGGCACAGATGTCTCAAGTTATTATGTGGCAGGCCCAAATATGAATAACGTAAATCTATATAGTGAACATTCGGCAACTTCGCGCTGTATGATTTAAATATTCTATTTATATCTTCAGTATTATTTTGCCTATTACCCTCAGTTTCGCATAATATAATATTTGTGTTTTTAAGCTGGCTTAGATAGTAAAAAAGGTAGGAACTCATTTTTGTTAAGTCACTGTCATTTTTCCCTGTAAGGATCAGTACGTAATCCATATTACTGTAAGTTGAGCAATGGAGTTTAATGCCTTCTAGTATTTTATCCGTCGTAGCTCCTGGTTTTATTTCGCCATATATTTTGTATTTATTTCCAAGTAACTTTGATAATTGTGTGGTTATGCCTCGGCCTTGTTCATCTCCAAATATATATAATCTGTGTGCGTATGTGTATTGTTCTTCTGTCATAGTCTCATTTTTTAATTGACTGTATCTTGTCTGTTTTGAGTTTATCCTAATTTCGGAATTTTTACGCACAGATGCTTTTTGTTTACTAGACGGTGTTTCGGATAGTTTAACTGTGCTTTCATCATTAAGGCTATTCCTTTCTTCCTCTCTAAAGCTAAGCTGAGTACCCTTAAGGCTCGTCCTGTTTTTTGGTTTGGTGGGATTTTTTGAGCTTGATGTACATATTCCAGTCAAAGTTTTTATTTTTCGCTCATATTCGGCTAGTCGTTTACTTAAGGCAGTATTTTCAGAGTGAAGGTTTTCGATTTCGTTTTCAGCAGCCTTTAGTTTCAACTCTAGGTGTAATATTTTGTTCTTCATTTCCTGCGTATCTTCTTCCAGATTCACTCCTATATTTGGGCAACTTCTGTTCAATTTACTGTCTGTGACAAAGGAAGAATATTCTTCGTCTGATAAACCTTCAAAAGAATTTTCAGTAGTTATATTTATATTATACTTTTTTCGTTCTGTCACGTAACAGCTATTTTCATTCTGGTTTGTATCTGATTTAAACAACATCAAACAATTTGTACATTTCCATTTATTTTTATGATTATTTGTCATTAGGTGAAATCTTTTTTCTGTAATATTAGTACATTCAAGGTGATATATTTTTATGCAATTGTTACACTCTAGATAATATCTTGTTTCTATTAAATCTTTACACTTTGAGCATATTAGTGACATCTTGGGTAATTTCTCGGCACTAATAGATATTTATGGACTTGACTTGATGTTTGTATTAATCGTTTCGCAGCAAGAAAGCAAGAAGTTAAGCAACACGCAAATAGATGGCGCTCTTTGTATTTAGCGATAGACTATTGAGCTAGGGATTGGGTCCGAAGTTCAAATGATTGATACACGTATTTGTTTGAAGTCGTTATACGAATTTAAAAGTAAAGCACTATTCACTGATACACATAGTTTTGTTTGAGATGGCTCTTTGGTACATTTATTTGTTTATAGTTTATCTTGAGTAAAAATGTCTTTTAGTTAATAAAATCTGAGATTATTATGCACTGTTTAAGTTCGATAAATTTTTCACTTAGGTTCAACTGATATAGTCACAAACACTGTTTCACTCTCGTCGTAGTATATTCAATTTATTTTTATCACTTTTAAACTATTCTATTGTTTTAAACTATTTTTAAATGAATTATTTAAGGAGCGAATGTTTACTTTAGTGCGCCCTCTGTGTTCTCACGTAGGAGTCAGTAGTATTAAAAAAATACAAATTAAAAATGTCGATGTAATCGGGTTATCATCATCAATATATAATATGTCAAATATATAATACATGGTATGTCAAATCAAATACAAATATTATAATTATGTAATTTCTATGTCATTAAGATATTCATTAATAGAATAGTAAGATTTATTAATTAATAATGTTTTTAATGATTTTTGAAGGTTTGTATATTATTTATTTTCTTTATATCATTAGGTATTTTATTATAGATGGGTATGTATAGGCAAAATATACTTTTTCGCATTTTTACTGACTTTGATTGTTGAACTTTTAATCTTAGGGGATACCTTCTATTCTTTAAATTTTCAAACAATGATAGGTTTCTATAGACAAACACAGCCGTCTCATTGATAAAAAAACAAGGAAAAGTTAGAATTTGCAGCTCTTTAAAAATGTGCTTTACAGCTGTCTGTCCAGTGTAGATTTTTGATTGCTCGATTGCACTTTTTTTGAGCTTTGAATACCTTTTCCCGATCCACTGAGTTTCCCCAAAACATAACACCGTACCTAAGTGTTGATTCAACGTATCCAAAATATCCTATACGAAGTGTTTGCGTATTTGCTCTTTTATTTAACTTATACAAGCCGTATGAAAATTTATATAATTTACTGCAAACACTATCGACCTGTGCCTTCCAGTTCGGATGGTCATCAATGATAATTCCTAAAAATTTAGTTTCTATCGTTTCATAGATTGGTGAACTTTTATAATGAATATTAATACTTGATAAACTATCTTTTTGCCAATTAAATTTCATAATTTTAGTTTTCTCTAAATTTATATTTAAGTTATTTTTTACGAGCCAGTCAATTATAAGACCAATGGAACTGTTGATCTCAATTTCATAGCTTTGGGTATTATTTCCTTCATAAACGACCGTACAGTCATCCGCAAATAGGACCATAGATTGTTGTATCACCGATGGAAGGCCATTAATGTACATAAAAAATAGGAGTGGCCCCAAAACGCTTCCTTGTGGAACGCCGTATTACACAGCTCGGGATGTCGATCGATAAACCTTCTCTGTCAACTTTATAGGACATATTCTCCTTATTTCAGTAATTTGCGTTCTGTCTGTAATATATGACTCAAAAAGATCTAAAACTGTCCCTCGCAATCCATATTGGTGTAATTTTCTTATTAATATTTTGTGATCCACATAGTCAAAAGCCTTAGTCATGTCCATGTATAGCGCAGCTACAGGTATTTTTTTGTTTATACAAGTCATAATTTTGTTGAGCACATCATAAATTGCCGTGTTTACAGATTTATTTTTACGAAATGTCTTTTATTTATCTTATTTATTCATCATCATCATCATCATCATTACAGCCTTTCACAAGTCCACTGCTGAACATAGGCCTCCCCCAAAGAATGCCACAAAGCACGGTCCTGAGCCACCTGCATCCATCGACTTCCTGCATATCTTACCAGGTCGTCACTCCATCTCCTGGGGGGACGCCCTACACTTCGCCTGCCGGTACGAGGCTGCCACTGGAGAACCTTTCTTCCCCATCGGTTGTCGGTTCTTCGAGCTATATGGCCGGCCCATTGCCACTTCAGCTTACTAATCCGTTGTGCTATGTCGGTCACTCTAGTTCTACTACGGATATCCTCATTTCTGAGTTTATCACGCAGAGAAACTCCGAGCATAGCCCTCTCCATAGCTCGCTGAGCGATCTTGAGCTTCCTCATTCGGCCAGCAGTGAAGGACCACGCCTCAGTTCCGTATGTCATCACTGGCAACACGCACTGGGTGTACAGTCTCGTTTTCAAGTTTTGAGGTATACCTGACGAAAAGATGTGTCGTAATTTCCCGAACGCTGCCCAACCGAGTTGAATCCGTCGATTGACCTCTCGGTCGAAGTTGGACTTACCTAGTCGGACTATTTGTCCCAGGTAAACATACTCGTCAACAACTTCGAGCTTAGTGCTCCCAACAACTACCGGCATAGGTGTGTCATGGACACTAAACATGATCTTTGTTTTGTCCATGTTCATCTTAAGACCTATCCGTTGGGAAACACTACTGAGGTCATTGAGCATAGTGCTTAGGTCCTCCAGCGATTCTGCCATATGGACTATATCGTCGGCAAATCGAAGGTGAGTGATGTACTCGCCATTGATGTTGATACCGTATCCTTTCCAGTCCAGAAGCTTGAAAACATCTTCCAATGCAGCGGTAAAGAGTTTCGGGGATATGACGTCACCCTGTCTTACACCTCTCTGCAATTGGATAGGTTTCGTACTCTGGTTCTGTACTCGCATAGCCATCGTAGCCCTACTGTACAAGCACTTCAACACTTCGATATACCGACAGTCAACTTGGCATCGCTGAAGGGATTGCAGCACCGCCCAAATTTTGACGGAATCAAAGGCTTTCTCATAGTCCACATACGCCAGACATAGTGGCAAATTGTACTCCTCGGACTTCTGTACAATTTGCCGAAGGCTATGTATGTGGTATATGGTGCTAAAGCCTTTTCGGAAACCGGCTTGTTCGGGAGGCTGGAAGTCGTCAAGTCTGCGCGCGAGACGATTCGTAATGACTCTCTAAAATAGCACGTAGACGCGGCTCAGAAGGGAAATCGGTCTGTAGTTCTTCAAGAGAGCGTTGTCACCTTTCTTGAAGAACAAGACCACCGCACTTCTGCTCCACGCCTCCGGTGTAATGCCACCATGGAGGACGGAATTAAAGAGCTTCTGAAGGACTACAAGTACCGGTTTTCCACCCGCTTTCAGAAGCTCCGCTGTAATTCCATCCTCGTCTGGGGCCTTGCCGTTTTTAAGGTGCTGGAGAGCCATTCTAATCTCGCTCAGACTGACGTCCGGGATATCATCGGAATAATGTCGGATAAGACTCGCTCCTGGATCGTTACTCACACTTGCGTGCGGCTCCAACGATGACTTGTACAGCTGCCCATAGAACCTCTCAATCTCACTCAAAATCTCAGGTGCCCCGGAAACGATGCTGCCACATTCGGTCTTCAGCTTTGACAGTTGGCTCTTTCTGGCAGACAGATCTCTGGCAAAGACTTTGGAGCCTTGGTTCCGCTCGATCGCTTCTTCAATACGAGCTGTATCGAAGTTGTGCAAGTCCCGTCGCATGCACTTGGAGATCTGTCTGTTCAGTTGCCTGTATGCTGTCAAATCTGTTGAAGAATGTAGCTTCATCTCCCGTCTAACAGCCATGAGATTAAGAGTGTGATCGGAGAGTTTTTGTGTTCTTTTGCGGTGGGTCTTGCAGAACTTAGCTCCGACCGCATGGACAGTTTCCACGAGCTTGTCATTTAAATCGTCCACTTCATTGCAATCTTCTAGGCACTGAAAACGGTTTTGTAACTCGAGCTGAAAGGTTTCGGGACTTTGGATTAGAGCACGAGGGGGACGGAGCGTTGACTTCATTAGACGAGACCTCTCCAACTTAACGTTTAGGTTCAGTGTGCCTCTAACCATTCCGTGATCGCTGCCGGTTTTCACCCTCGCGATCACTCAGACGTCACTGAACAGTTGTCGTCTGATCGTCATAATGAAGTCAATCTCATTTTTTGTCGAACCGTCGGGGCTCGACCAGGTCCACTTCCTGTGGGGCCGCTTCTGGAAGAAAGAGTTCATCATAAAGAGTCCCTCTTTCTCCATGAAGTCGGCCAGCTGCTGGCCCTTGGGTTCCATTGCCCTATTCCAAATTTTCCAACTTTCAGCTCACCGTTCTCTCTTGTGCCTAGTTTTGCATTGAAGTCTCCCATTAACACCGTATATTGAGTTTTGGAGGAATGCATGGCTCTAGAGATATCCTCATACATTTCCTCCACCTCCCCATCGGGGTGTGCCGAGGTTGGTGCGTAAACCTGTATGACCTTCAGCGAATACCGTTTGGTGATTCTGAGTATAAGGTACGCAACCCTCGTCGACACACTCCCGATCTTTAAAACGTTGTTAACGAGAGACTTGTGGACGATAAATCCGACACCTCCTTGGGACAGATAGTCGCCCTCCCGGTAATAGAGTAAGTTGCCGGATTCGCGGATTACCGTGTCCTCCCCCTCTCTTCGGACTTCGGATAATCCTATAATATGCCAGCGCAACTTGTCTATCTCTTCTTCCAGCTCCACAATCTTTTCGTCAGTCCTCAGGGTGCGTGCGTTGTATGTTGCCAGGTCGAGTCGTCGTAGGTGGCTACCGAACCTCCACCGGAGATTCTTAGCACCCCCTGCCCCGCCGTTACCATGGTCGCCACCGTAGCCAGGAATAGCGGGGCCGCCGGGGACTGGGAGCCGTCTCTTAGTAACTCTCATCATGGGGGGTATATTG